GTACCAAAGAGCATTTTCCACACGGGGAACGATACCTCCAGCACAACTCCTTTGAGCCTTTGACAATTTTCTCTGAAATACCTCAAAATATTTAATGTATAGTTTATGTGATTTAAAAGAAAAGTGCTTAGCTAGTTTTTGGAATACGTAACTTGAAGCTTTATACCGTTCAATTATAATTTTGCAGACGCTGGCATGTCATGTGTTTGACGAATCCCGTGGGAGAGACGTATTGAACGTCAGGGTGGCGGGAGCTGAGCGCTGGTGGCCTGGGCAGGAGTCAGGTGGGAGCTTGGTGGCGAGAGATTGAGAGGGAGAACTGGCGGCCTTTACAGATTTCTTATTTAAACGAGTCCTTTAGGAAAGGGGGGGAGAGAGAGGGAGAGAGAGGGTTGCTTTTCTGTTTTCTGGCTTGTTCGGTTTTCTTGGTTTTCAGAGTCATGTCTTAAAGAGTATTTATTATTCTATGTGCTCTGTGTTCAAATGTAATTTAAGGAAGAAAAATAAAAAGAAAAAAGATGTGATGGGATTTGATTTGGTGCATGACTAATGTACTCTTTCCTGACGCTGATGTAACAGGTGGTTGGGGCACGGGGGCGGGACTGGCGGGCGGTGACCCCGCGGTTCCATGTGTCGGATCCTTGCATCCCATGCCCAAGGTGGTGCTGTTCCGTGGTGCTTTGCGTTGCTGTCTGTTGCTTTCCCGCTTTCTGAGGAACCGTGTCCAGCTGGTGGCAGTGCGGTTGGGGCCCCAGGTAGACAGGAAGGTGGGGGCAGGCCTCCAGCAGGATGGGCCACCAGGATGTCCTCCACCTCCCAGCCCCTTAGATGCCACCCACCTACCTGTGGCAGCTGGACAGGCAGGGACCGCTAGTCACCCCCAGAACCCATTCTTGGATGCCCCTACAACGGGGCATTGTCAGCCGTGCTTCTTTGAGGAAGCAGGCTCAGGGTACAAAGAACTGGCCCAGGGCAGTTCTAGGTGAACGCTAACATGACCGTGGGGTGTGGGCTGGGACCCCAGAAGGAGGAGGGGACAAAGGGTTCTTGAATGGTCCTTGCCTGCCTGTCCCAGTCCACCATAGGAATTGGGAACCTGACTTAGTCCTGAGTGTAGGAATCGGAAACGTCTAGGCTGGTATGGGTGGAGCTCTGACCCTCAGTCTCCTCCTCCGAGAAATGGGGTTCTGCCCCGCAGGAGTGCTGAGGCAGCTGGGCCAGGCCAGGGCCTAGGGAGAGCCTCCTTGCCAAGCACCCCGGCTGGGATCTTCCTGATCCAGTGGGAAGTGCCTCTCTCTCTGATCCTGCCCCTTCATGGGGTCACATGGCAGGGACCAAATTCTGGGGCTACCAGGACAATTAGAAGAGAGGATGGCTGTGGCTGCCTTCCACTGAAGCTAAGCCTTTTCCTAAACATCAGGGACAGACAGGAAAAAGGAAAAAAAATGGTGCTTGGGTGCCAGGAGCAAGGAGGCTGGGCCCAAGAAAAAGATTCTGCTCTTGAACCAATTACAGTAGCTTGTCTTTGCAACAAGACAAAAAGAAAAACCTGTCACCTTGCCTCTGCAACAAGACAAGAACTTGCCTTTGCAACAAGACAGGAAAACAAAACAAAACCGTATCCCCCTCGCTGGGCTGCAGCAAACAGTAACCGTGTCCACACCACCTGTGGGAAACACCTCCAGGCAGAAAATGAGAAACTGCCAAGGGGTGGAGTGGGGATGGTGCCCTCTTCTTGCCAGCCTGTCCCACCAGGTGAGTCGTCAGCCCGGGCATGCGGGCTGCCTTTTCGATGTAACGATGACGTGATCAAAGGCGTCTGGTGTTACGGTTAAATTTAACACTGTTAAATAAAGTGCCGCAACACATTTTGTAACAAGAATAACAACGACAACCAAAGATCCCAGCTCTTACCAGCTTTTGCCCTGATTTGGGGGCCATGAAACAGAGGCCCAGGTGGGGTGTGCGGGACGGCCACCTCGCACCAACGCCTCTCACCTCGGAAGGATGCCATCTTCCTTGTGTTGGTCAGCTCGTGGTGGGTGACCATCAGGGCCTGTCTGAACTTCAAGTTGGTCTCCCTGACAACGGGAAGGGCAGGGAAGAGAAGAGAAAGGTGAGAGGGGGTGAGAGGTGTCTCCCCAGAGCAAGGAGCCCTGGCTCCCTTCCTCCAGAGTCATGCAAATATTTTCACTGAGCACCTACTTTGCGCCGGCTGCCAATCAGAAGGCTGAGGCCCAGAGATGGAGAGAACCTTGCCCAGGGCCACCCAGCACATTTGCCAATGCGCTGAGACAGCGGCCTTGGCCTTCCCACCCTCAGGCACACAGTAGGGCCTGCAGAAATGCCAGGTGGGGTGAATGACCAAAGTATCTGAGAGAGGAGTGCTTGGCCGGCCTCCTCTGTGGGAGCTGGCAGAGTGGGGCTCCCCTGGGCCATGTGCCAAAGCGCCCTGGGCTCCTGGCGGCTTCTTACCCGTCGATGTCTGCTGTCTCCACGTAGCACAGGCTGCTGGGCTCAGTGCTGGCCAGCAAGAGCAAGTCGGCCTGCGTAGGGGGCAGCGTTGTGGGAGGGGATAGAAGACAAGCAGGAGAGGCCAGGTGGCCCTCCCCAGGGGCGGGGGGCGGGCACTCACAGGGAGGGGCACCCTGGGGCGGACGCTGCCAGCTCACCGGGACTATGCTGTCCTTGCTGAGACAGACCACGTCTCCCACGCACAGATTCTTCCATTTTTGCCAAATGAAGCTGCAGGGAGTGGGGGCGTGAGAGGTGGGCCCCCGGCCACCTCTACTAAGCCGATGTAGAAGGTTTTTTTTTTTTTTTTTTTGAGACAGACTCTCACTCTCTTGCCTGGGCTAGAGTGCCGTGGCGTCAGCCTAGCTCACAGCAACCTCAAACTCCTGGGCTCAAGCAATCCCCCTGCCTCAGCCTCCCAGGTAGCTGGGACTACAGGCATGCGCCACCATGCCCAGCTAATTTTTTTCCATTTTTAGTTGTTTGGCTACTTTCTTTCTATTTATGGTAGAGACAGGATCTCGCTCTTGCTCAGGCTGGTCTTGAACTCCTGAACACAAGCAATCCTCCCACCTCGGCCTCCCAAAGTGCTAGGATTATAGGCGTGAGCCACTGCGCCCGGCCCAAGCAGAAGGTCTTGAGGGGCTGCAGCTGGGATGAGGGCACTTGGCTTCCCGGAGTCCCCACCCACCCCTAGGCCTTTACTCGCACCGGGCTCCCCCAACTTGGCAGCCTGCAAAGCCAGCTGAGTCACTGCCTCCCTGAGGAAGCCTTCCCTGACCTCCTGCCTCCCTCCCAGGGGCCCACGCTCTTGCCCAGGGACCTCCACAGTCCCTCACCCGTGTCCTCTTCAGACTCTAAGCTCTGCCAGGGTTAACGATCAGTGCAGGAGCCTAATAAATGCGGGCCTGGGTCCCCACCAGACTCAGCCAGGAGACCGGGGGGCATGGAAGGTGACAGACTCTCTTCCCTGCCGGCCGCCGGCCTCACCTCTTCCCCACGAGGACCTGGCAGGGCCTGTTGTTGATGGCTCTGTCGCTCCTGTGCCGGCCCTGGGCCACGAAGGAGTAGGTCAGAGGGACCGGCCTGCCTCTCCTGCCCCCGCCCCATGCCCACCCGCCAGGCGGCTCCCCCAGCCCCACTCACAATGTCGTCCACCAGGTCGCGGGTGGCTCGGATGATGATGAGGCAGACCAGGGGGGCGAAGAGAGTGAACCAGGGCAGCGTGGAGATCTCGGGGATGCCCTGCCATGGCCAAGGTGGGTCACACCAGCCAGCCAGGTGGGCCAACCCCTCCCTGTCCTTCTAGGGGCCTCCCCCGCCCACCTCCCATGCCCTGCCACCCAGCAATCCCGGCCCCTGCACCCCACATCGCTGAGTTCCTCCCCTTGCCCTGTCCGCCAGCAAATTCCTCTTCTTCCTGGCCCGGTTCCTATGCTGCCTCCTCCAGGGAGCCCCCCAAGCCCTGGCCTCGCTGCTCCTAGGGTCTTCCTTGAGATCTGAGTGCCACCACCACACCCTAGGGCCCGGCTTCAGGCTTAATGGATGTGAGTGGGAGGTGCCCTGGCCAGATGCCCGTCCCTGGACGCCACCCTGGACCCCTCCTTCCTCCTCCCCACCCTTCAAGGTCCGCTTGGCAGACAGGCGCTGGGGGCAGTGGTGTGACCAGGGCTGTCCAGGCTGGGAAGGGGCTGTGCCCAGCAGGTGCCAGCGGGGCACGGAGAGCCCGCCCTCCTCGGACCTGGAGGGTCCGTCCATCCACTTTCATCATTTAACATGTATTGAGCGCCTCCTGTGTGCCATGCCCCGGGCCAGGCAGTGTGGACCCAGCAGTGAGGGTCTGTGGGGAGTGGGGCACTGACCCACCCATCACACAGACAAATACACAAAGTCGCCTAGGTTGTCAGGGAGGGCTTCCTAGAGGAGGTGACACTCCCACCATGGCTCCAGAGGATGACTCAGCCGGGAGGGGAGCAGGAGAGGGAGCGGCATGGGCGCCACGCGGTGACCCCCCACCTGCAGGATGATGATGAGAAGGAAGTACAGGTTGGACACGCGGTGGAACTGCTCGTACAGGTTCCGTGGCAGGAAGGAGAAGAAGTTGTACTTGGCCGTGTGGATGATGTTGGTCTGGAACGAGAGCCGCTGGTGCTTGGCACGGGGGCACAAGGCTGGCCCTGCCCCACCCCGACCCCCAGTGGGTAAGCATCTGCTGGGCCAGAGTTTATCAAGCACTTGCTGAATGCAAGGTCTCGAAGCCAGGATTAATTTTCTACTGAATGCAAAGCCATGAGCCAGCGTTTACTGAGCACCTACTGAGTGCAAAGACTCATCAAGCTGGGACCCCCAAGGGAGACACCAAGAGGGATTTGGGGGGGTGGCCTGAGGGACACACTGTCCTTTAACGTGCACTGGGACAGGGCAAAGGAGACGTAACTCCCTTACACCAGAGGTGAGGTGAGCACGGGCAGGGGCCACGGTCCTCACTATGCAAGTAGCACCGTGGAACAAACGCAAGGCCAAGTGCCAGGGCCGAGCCTGGTGGCTCTGGGGGTGCGTGAGGGGCTGCCCACCTTGTACTTCTGCCTGTGCCAGCACAGAAACACCTTCTCCTTGAACTGCCAGTGGTAGGAGCGGCTGTTGGCCTTTACATCCCAGGTGAACGCTGCGGCGAGAGCAGAGCACGGTGTCGCTGGAGTGCCAGGCCCAGGACAAACACCTCTAACGACACCCCGGGGGAGGACTTGCGGAGCCCGGGGGACCCAGGCGCTGGGGACGCCCAGCTCGTGGCCAGAGATGCGAGCCTGTAAACAAACAGGAGGGGCCTGCCCGGCCGCTGCATGTAGTAGGTGGATCTGAAGACACCCCTTTCCCCAGCTGTCGGCCAGTCCCCGGACGCAGAGGACAGGTCCTGCGAGACCCACTGAGGTCCACTTGTTTTGCAGATAGGGTGAATTGAGGCCCGGTGATGGGCTCTGGGGCGACCAAGGCCACACACACGGCCTGGACAGCCCCCGTATCCCGACCACTTGTAACCACGTGGGAACCCCAGGCAAGGCCCCTCATGAGGGTTTGGGGGTGGCCTCCCCGTCCCCTCCCTCCTCCCTCCCACCCACGTCCCACCCTCAGCCCGAGACGTGCACCTGTGTTCTCGTTAGCATCTTGGAGATCTTCTGGGTAGGTAAGACCGCCCATGCTGGTGGGGCTGCCGGTGGGGAGAGGGACCCCGGGTCACACGGGTAGCCCCAG